TCTAATTATTACAAAGGTGTTGCTGTAGGGTAGTAGGGAAAAGATAGCCTTTTCAATTATGAACACAATCAGATCAACTATCTATTCTAAATTGTGAAAAAAGAAATAAAACTAGCCTATAACACACAAATATACATGAATATATTACTGGCAGGCCATAAATCTAAATATGAAGGTTAAAATGATGTTTAAATTTATAATATTTACTATTTATTAATATCTCACTAATCTTAAGCTGAAAAATACTTCTTAAAAAAGAATACAAAGAGTTTAAATTGTAAATGAAAGACTAAATTAGACTCCATTATAGTGGTGGACACTTGTTTCTTAAGGACATAATTAATATTTATTAGGGTAGAAGATCTAGCAATATATATAACCAACAAAGATATTCTACTCAGATACAAAAAAATTTATTAGAGTAGAAGATCTAGCAGTATATACAACCAACAAATATTTTCTATTCAGATACATAAAAATTTCAACATATCAGAAAAAAAAACACAATCTTATAGTTAAATGAGGAGTAAACCCTAACAAAGAACATATTCAAAGGACAAATATACATATTACAATTTGCTTAGCACTATCAGTTTTCAGGAAAATGTGATTTGAACCCTTGATGAGATATCTCTACACATATATCAAGATATCTAAAAGTTAAAAATTTGTCTATACCGTTTTTTGGTAATTATATAGTACATGAGGGTTCTCATATACTGTAAGTAGAAATGTAAATTAAAACAGCTACTTTGCTGGGACCAGCAGTTAACGTAATGGCTATGTTGCTGGACTCCCATATAGTAAATCACGGTTTGAGCCCCAGACCTGATGTCTTAAACTCTCACTGGGCGCGTGTGCATGTGTGTCCAAGATCCCAAGAGGAGAATGGAGGAGAAAGGATTGCAGCGTGGCCATTCTCCCTGAGGGGTGATTTCTTACTTTCTGTTTCTCTATCTCTCTCTGTCTTTCTGGCGAGTGCATGTGCCCTATAGAAAAAACCTGTACAAAAAAATGGGAAAAAAACCCTGCCACTTTGCTAAGCAATTTATAATAATCTACTTAAGGTAAATATGTGCTTGTCTGTTACCTAGGAATTCCACTCCTATGGATATATGCAACATAAATGTGTCCCCAGGTGTGTCAGAAGATACGTGTAAGAATGTTCATAGCAGCAATATGCATGGAAGCCAATTTGGAAATAATCTACATGGCCATGAACAGCAGAATTATACATAAAGTGTGATCCATTTATACAAAGAAATACTGTACAATAATAAAAATAAACTAGCCAGAGCCCAAGTTTATGGAAATGTTCCAAAATTATGTGACAGTGATGGTTGTACAACTCCATAAATACATTAAAACTCATTGAACTTACGGGAACCAGCAGTTAGGGTAATGGCTATATTGCTGAACTCCCACGTAGTCGACCGCGGTTCGTGTCCAAGACCCGGTGGCTTAAAACTCACGCCGGGCGCATGTGCATGTGTGCCCAAGATCCCGAGAGGAGAATGGAGGAGAAGGGATTGCAGCGTGACCATCCCCCCTGGAGGGTGATTTCTCGCTTTCTGTCTCTATGTCTCTCTCTGTCTGTCTCCAGGGAGCACACGCCCTATAGCGAAAACCTCTCCCCCAAAAAAAAAAATTCATTGAACTTTATAATGAAAATGGATAGATTTTTCTGTCTAAACTATGTATTAATAAAACTGCTTTTAAGCATCATTTTCTTTTTTTATAAAGAATTTTAAATTTTATTTATTCATTTATTTATTTTATTTTGAACAGAGAGAGAGAGAGATAAAGTAAGAAAGCAAGCTAGCAGGTCCAGGACTTGAACCACAGTCAGCCATGTGGGAATGTCCAGAGCCTTAACCACCATGCCACCTGCTGGTCCCCTTAAGCATCTTTTTCTTATAAAAAAGATTTATTTAATTTTATTTATTTATTGTTATTATTTTTTAATTTTGTACAAGGCATGCATGCTTATCAGAGATAGAGAGACAGAGAGAGAGAGATAGAGGGAAAACGAGAAAGCAAGCCACCAAGTCCAGAACTTGAACTGTGTGGTTGGCCATGTGGGAGTCAAGGGTCTAAACAACTATGCCACCTAACAGCCCCATAAGCATCTTTTTCTACCAAATGTAACAGTAAATTGGCTCGATCTCAGTGACAAAACTAGTAATGCACTGAAAGCCACATGGCCGACCATGGGATCAGACCCCCAGTTGAAAGCATCTCAGATCTGCACAATCCCGACATCCTGATAACCCTGAGGGCTGGTGAAGGAGATAACAATGTGATAGAGCCTTGTTGAAGGCATAAATCTGTCTGCTTCTCTCTCACACATGCACATGGTTTCTCTCATGGATAAAAACAAACTTTTTAAAAAAGAGATAACAGAAAAAAGGTACTAGAGGCAGAGAGGACTAAAAATTCAATTAAAATATTTTAAAAATTGTTTTTCATAGTTATTTTATAGTTCATTCCATTTAATAAAGTCAATTTGTTAAGCAATATATACATATTTTAAAATGTATATACTTTAAATAATTTTCATGCCTCTTTTTAGTCTTAAAAGTGTCTTGGGGAGACTAGTAGTTGGAGTAATGGCTATGTTGCTAAACTCTCATGTAGTCCA